CGGGGCAATTGCCCCCCCCCCGAGAAAATAGTGCAGCTGCCATCAGTTGAGCGACCTCATTAGGGGCTCGGTCGGGTGCTGCAGCCCTTTGGCAGACCGGGCCCCTTTAAAGTTGCAGGGAGTGCTGGGAGGAAGTGACTGTTTCTTCCTCCCAGCATACAGACCGCGCGGGCTGAGAACACCCAGGATGCAGCTGAGAGAGAAGACACAGGCAGCTGGGAGAGAAGGAGGAGGGAGGAGAGAGAGAGCTCTGTGGCTTCAGACTCCCATCAGGCTCAGGAAGTCACCTTCCTGCAAAGAAAAAGGTATTTAAGCAGAGGGGAGAGGGGAGGGTGCTTAACATTATGGAAGCTGCAATTTGTGTGTGTGTATGTTTATGTATGTGGACATCTGTGTGTGCCAGTGTGTATGTTTATGTATGTGTACATCTGTGTGTGCCAGTGTGTATGTTTAGGTATGTGGACATCTGTGTGTGTCAGTGTGTATGTTTAGGTATGTGGACATCTGTGTGTGTCAGTGTGTATGTTTATGTATGTGGACATCTGTGTGTGCCAGTGTGTATGTTTATGTATGTGTACATCTGTGTGTGTCAGTGTGTATGTTTTAGATATGTGGACATCTGTGTGTGCCAGTGTGTATGTTTATGTATGTGGACATCTGTGTGTGCCAGTGTGTATGTTTATGTATGTGGACATCTGTGTGTGCCAGTGTGTATGTTTATGTATGTGGACATCTGTGTGTGTCAGTGTGTATGTTTAGTATGTGGACATCTGTGTGTGTCAGTGTGTATGTTTATGTATGTGGACATCTGTGTGTGCCAGTGTGTATGTTTATGTATGTGGACATCTGTGTGTGCCAGTGTGTATGTTTATGTATGTGGACATCTGTGTGTGTCAGTGTGTATGTTTATGTATGTGGACATCTGTGTGTGTCAGTGTGTATGTTTATGTATGTGGACATCTGTGTGTGTCAGTGTGTATGTTTATGTATGTGGACATCTGTGTGTGTCAGTGTGTATGTTTATGTATGTGGACATCTGTGTGTGCCAGTGTGTATGTTTATGTATGTGGACATCTGTGTGTGTCAGTGTGTATGTTTATGTATGTGGACATCTGTGTGTGTCAGTGTGTATGTTTATGTATGTGGACATCTGTGTGTGTCAGTGTGTATGTTTATGTATGTGGACATCTGTGTGTGTCAGTGTGTATGTTTATGTATGTGGACATCTGTGTGTGTCAGTGTGTATGTTTATGTATGTGGACATCTGTGTGTGCCAGTGTGTATGTTTATGTATGTGGACATCTGTGTGTGTCAGTGTGTATGTTTATGTATGTGGACATCTGTGTGTGCCAGTGTGTATGTTTATGTATGTGGACATCTGTGTGTGTCAGTGTGTATGTTTATGTATGTGGACATCTGTGTGTGTCAGTGTGTATGTTTATGTATGTGGACATCTGTGTGTGTCAGTGTGTATGTTTATGTATGTGGACATCTGTGTGTGTCAGTGTGTATGTTTATGTATGTGGACATCTGTGTGTGCCAGTGTGTATGTTTATGTATGTGGACATCTGTGTGTGTCAGTGTGTATGTTTATGTATGTGGACATCTGTGTGTGCCAGTGTGTATGTTTATGTATGTGGACATCTGTGTGTGTCAGTGTGTATGTTTATGTATGTGGACATCTGTGTGTGTCAGTGTGTATGTTTATGTATGTGGACATCTGTGTGTGTCAGTGTGTATGTTTATGTATGTGGACATCTGTGTGTGTCAGTGTGTATGTTTATGTATGTGGACATCTGTGTGTGTCAGTGTGTATGTTTATGTATGTGGACATCTGTGTGTGCCAGTGTGTATGTTTATGTATGTGGACATCTGTGTGTGCCAGTGTGTATGTTTATGTATGTGGACATCTGTGTGTGCCAGTGTGTATGTTTATGTATGTGGACATCTGTGTGTGCCAGTGTGTATGTTTATGTATGTGGACATCTGTGTGTGCCAGTGTGTATGTTTATGTATGTGGACATCTGTGTGTGTCAGTGTGTATGTTTATGTATGTGGACATCTGTGTGTGTCAGTGTGTATGTTTATGTATGTGGACATCTGTGTGTGTCAGTGTGTATGTTTATGTATGTGGACATCTGTGTGTGTCAGTGTGTATGTTTATGTATGTGGACATCTGTGTGTGTCAGTGTGTATGTTTAGATATGTGGACATCTGTGTGTGTATGTTTATGTATGTGTACATCTGTGTGTGCCAGTGTGTATGTTTTAGATATGTGGACATCTGTGTGTGTATGTTTAGATATGTGGACATCTGTGTGTGCCAGTATGTATGTGGACATCTGTGTGTGTCAGTGTGTATGTTTATGTATGTGGACATCTGTGTGTGTCAGTGTGTATGTTTAGGTATGTGGACATCTGTGTGTGCCAGTGTGTATGTTTAGGTATGTGGACATCTGTGTGTGCCAGTGTGTATGTTTAGGTATGTGGACATCTGTGTGTGCCAGTGTGTATGTTTAGGTATGTGGACATCTGTGTGTGTCAGTGTGTATGTTTAGGTATGTGGACATCTGTGTGTGCCAGTGTGTATGTTTATGTATGTGGACATCTGTGTGTGCCAGTGTGTATGTTTAGGTATGTGGACATCTGTGTGTGCCAGTGTGTATGTTTAGGTATGTGGACATCTGTGTGTGCCAGTGTGTATGTTTAGGTATGTGGACATCTGTGTGTGCCAGTGTGTATGTTTAGGTATGTGGACATCTGTGTGTGCCAGTGTGTATGTTTAGGTATGTGGACATCTGTGTGTGTCAGTGTGTATGTTTAGGTATGTGGACATCTGTGTGTGTCAGTGTGTATGTTTAGGTATGTGGACATCTGTGTGTATCGGAGTGTCAGTGTGTGAATCTGTGAGTGTTAATGTGTATTTGTGAGTATGTATCTGTGTGTGTACCACAGACAACGTCGTCCACTGCACTCAGGTTCCGCTTTTCACTCTGGTCCACAGCCTCAAAGGTGCTCTGGATTAGATAGACACTGCTAATCCGTCCAACAATACAAGGTTATAGAATATACAGGTACCGAAGGTGTATTTATTCGAGGGTAGAACACCACATAAAAGTGCAACTTTTCAGCCCTAGAGGGACTTAAACATGATTAAGGCCCCCAAGGGCTGAAACGTGTTCTACCCTCCAATAAATACACCTTCAGTACCTGGAGTTATGCCTGTATATTCTATTACCTTGTATCTGTGTATGTGAAGGTATGTGTGTCATTCTGTGTATGTGTAGGGATGTGTGTGTGTGCGGTTTCGCCAGTGTGCATGTGTAGGTATGTGTGTATCTATGTGCCAGTGTGTGTGTGCCTGTGTAGGTATAGGTTTGTATCTGTGGGTGTGCCAGTGTATGTGTCTGTATCTGTTATTGTGTTTCCATATCACTGTGTGTGGCCGCATATGTGTACAGCCTCTATCCCCTAAACAAGAGTCCCCTATTCCTCCGCTGCAGCCTGTTTCACCCCGCTCTAGCCCACTTAAGTGCCCCTCCCGAGATTTGGTTCTGGATCCGCCCCTGTGGAGAGGGTGATTCAGAGAACTTTTACTACAAAGAACAATCAGAGCCAACAGAGAACAGTGAATTTGATATTTTACAACCTGCTAAATACTAACAGGACATTCACAGAACCACTGACTGATACAATGGATGCTGTTAAAGATGACAAGATAAAACAAACAGAGGACGTCAGAAATTTGACATCTGAACCTGCAAATGTGAAGGAGAAGGATGAACAGACAGATGTGATACATTCACAGTTAACATGGAATGTATGAAAAATGAATCATCAACATCATTATAGGAAAGACTCTGGAGAAAACAGACTGAACCTGAATTATCTTATACAGTAAGAAAGAAATGCAAAGATGGAAGCAAAAAGATGCTAGAAAATTGGTTATGGTGTCTCCTTCTTACAGTCTGCAGCATTATAATATCAATCCTAGCTGTTGTTTTAAAACTGCATTGGGATTATGTTAACAAGCAGGACTATATAACACACTATACAAGTTCTTTGATCAGAGATGAGAGACATAGCGCACAGTGAAATGATTGCTAATGTGACCCACACTGGTATTTCACAAGGAAACTATTGAGATCATTCCAAAAAACGATTATACATGAGAAAGATGTGACAATTACAAATCCTAATAATGGAATCAACGATGATGGCAAAGCATGCTGAAAACAGAAAAAGATGGGACAGATGCTTGTGAAAGACTTTGGATGCACCTATGAAGGTGATGCAAGAAAATACTTTGCCATATAGTTTATCATTGAGTGACTACCGCAAACAGCCTTCTTATGCTGAAAAGAAGTGCTATGCTAATTCTGGACATTGCTATTATGTTTCCAGACAGAAGATGACTGGAAAAAGAAATAAAGGCTGATAACTGTCAACAACCAGCTATTTCTTAAGATGGAACATGGTACTGACAAAACCAGATTGACTATCAAAGCACCTCACAGTACAAGACACAGATTGTTAACTACAACTCAGAAAAGGTGGTTAATAGGAAGGATCAGAAGAAGAGGAATATAGATTTCCGACTGGAGAGAAAAACCATCCTGGAACAATATTCTGCAACAATGAACTTTACAATGACATTTGGTGGCATATGAATTTGAATTTGGTGGAAACACATCAATTAACTAACGAAACCTTGATGCAATTAATAAATAATAACAATACCGGCTTACTAAGAGCAGATGCCCTGCCAAGAGAATGGAATATAAAAAGACCAGCAAAATCTTTCAGAAACCTGACATCATGGGACTCTTGTACTAAAGCATGATTTGCAGTTTTTCTTAAACTCTACATATTATGTACATACCTGCAAAGCAAGGAACTCCTGTAAACTTAAACACAGAGACACTGATACAACAAGGAATCTGTAATAGTTCTGTTGCAGATGTGATCTACCGTCGTACTCCTTGCTCTTTTGGTACAACCATACCAATCAAAACGTTAAATGGCTCCATAGAATAAAACGACAAAGGATTCTTGCTATATTCTGGACTTCCAGGAATGTGGTGCATGGACAGAAAAATTATAACTACTAAAGCAATCATGCTATTTTTTTCCCTGTATCAGAAATGTGTCAGTGACAATGTGTAATATAATACAGATACTATAATTAATGGTATAAGAAACACATAATGTGTTAATTACAAAGGTGGATAGACTTTGTGAATATCTGAAACGCAATTGAAGATTGCTAAAATGCCATATGCAGCTGCAGTCTGGCCTACAAACAAATATATTAAACTTACGTATAAGAGCATGGTAGCTAATTACCCAGATGAATAATTGAATCATGATAGTTAAAGATCATATGATTGCAATAACAACTGCAATAATGAATAAGGTTTAAACTTTAGAAGAAAATTTAAAATGTTTTTATTAAATCAGAAACTATTCTATATTCGTTTAAGTTTGCAGAGGGGTATAATTAATTAATATAAGTGAAATACTTCAACAGTTAAAATTTAACTGAAAGACAGGCAGAAACTTTACTTCAACTATCATAAAGTTTATTTATAATGATAAAAATATTCAGTCTGCCAGAGCCAAGGCCAGTCAATGGAAAGTAAAAGAGTATTATGGATTAACCCATCCAGGTGATATACATGATGATTTTGGAAATTGATCATTTAGGTCACCTATTGCAAACTTGTGAAAAGATGTCAAAGATATAAATTCAACATCCATACCACTCTATGTATATATATATTAAAATACACGTAATCAAATATTATATCAGTTTTTCAAATACAAAGAAAATGTTATTTGGTTTGTGATGGTTAAAGGTACATAAAACCACTTATACAAAGGTAGAGTTAAAATATAAATACATTCAATATTGTATCGGAGTGCTTTCTTAACTCACTTTTAGAAATAATAATACATTCTAATCATCTTAAGCTACATCCAACAGCCACTGAAAAATATACTTAAACAATTAAGATTCACATTGTTAAGCATCCAATCTCACGAACGTAACTTTCCACAATGGCTGTCAGATCTTGGTAAAAAAAAAAAAAAAATGTTTTCTAAGACAATTTTGGGGTGTTTCTGGTATTTTAAGCCACTAATAACTGTAGTTATTATATTTACTAATTATATCTTAGGGAATAAGTTGTCTTCTCCCTAACAGGACAAAGAAAGATAATTAACGTCATATTTCCAATTAGCAACTATTCTAAATATATTGAGACATTTTGAATAAAGTAGTATTTTTAACATTTAAAGAGAATGTAATTTTACATACCATTGTGAACAAAGACGGTAAATACTTTGCTGCTTCAAATTATCCCTATATCTCTAAATCATATACAGGGGTGTTTATCTTTAATACAAAACACTAGAAATATCAACTATGTTACTATTTCATCTATCATTATTATACAAAGTATAACAAATGTAAAGATTTTTCCACAGATTTTACCTGTTAACATTTTTAGCACAACAGCACCTGATGTCAGTGAGATGTCTATCACTGAGATGTTACAAACATTCCAATACAGCAAAAAGAGGCGTTCCTGAGAATCCACTTCGATTGCTGTATCAACATCAACATTTACTATAACGGGATCCATGTCACTTAAGACAATGTCTTGGAAATTATGTCAATTAATTGATTCCGTAAAAGAATATCGGAGAGTATCCAATCTATACACATCATAAACGGTGTAAAAATGTTTCATGGAAAAAACAAAGCAAACAAGCAAAGAAAAATACCAACGCCATTACCACGGTGATAACAGATTATGCTGATTCAATATCTGCAACCAATTCTAACCAAATACTTGGATAGCTAAACTCTACAACAAATACCCGGGTATTCTACAAACACAACCTCCAGCAATGTATCTAAGGAATGTAAACTTCTACAGGCCTTTAATGACTTTGGATTACAAATACAATTACTACTTTTAACTTTGGATTACAATTCGTATCAGGATCTATCCAAGAATATCTTACTCTGGAACCTGGTGTTCTTTTCAATTCTTTCCCAGACAAAAGCTTTGCTAATTTTAATCAACCACCTTTACAGGCAAAGATCACACTACGGATATTATACTGTTACAACAATGATCAAAGATGCTGGGAGCACAAAAACCTAAAGACTGTTGGAGAATTTTGGTTTACTAATTTAAGGAAGAAATGCGCTACAATGCCCACAGTTTAATGGAGAGGGTGTTACGGGCAAATGCAAATATTACAAGTTTTAGAATGAAATGTTGTATTTCTTAAACTGTGTACTTTGTCTTTAAGAGATATTGCAAACTGACAAGGTGTTAGAAATGGAACATATTGTTTTTCATAACTGTTTCTTTAAGCAATAACCTCAGTGCATAATATGTTTGCGCCATATTGTCCCAGACGAATTACAATAACAATAATGTATAAACAAGCTTCAAGGCTATACTACGACTCTTGCAGTACACAATATACTGTGGTAACCCCAAGTTAATGGAACTTCCCCAAATCCGGGAATCTCCCACGACTGTACACTTACGACTTAGTATAAACAACAGATAACCTATTCAGACTTTAAGATGCCATCTTGAACTAAGTCAGGAAAATTTCCATGACGTATACACCCTTTAGTTATGGCCTTGTATATTTGCCAAATAAAGGGAGGTCCTAAATTGAATAAAGTAAAAGAAGTGTTACTTTTTCATATTTGAACTACAGTAACCTAAAATGGAGACACCTAAGGTATAAATAGGTGTACTTTTAAATGTTAAGACACAGAGGAGAGACTTGGAGACAGACGCTGCTCCATCTTAAAATGACAGAGAGGCTGACATGATGACATGTTCAGAAGGGTATGTTAACCTATTAATGATATTTGCAAGCATGTAATTTAATTTTATAAATTCTGCTATAATGGATTTTATATTTTTATATAATAAATATCCAAAAAGACAATCTTGCTTCCAAGACAATCCTTATTTTATATTGTATTCTCAATTATTTATATATGTTAAATAGAGGATCTCTTACACTATATAAAATTATGGCTAAGATATCTGTATGGTTAGCCCTACTAAGTTCTATGCTTTAAGACATTATAGTGGTAAATAAGGGAACCAGCCAGCGGTTACAATACAATTATAACATAACGACCCAACTTGTCAATTTCCTGAGCCTGGAGGGTAAATGCTACATTCTTACTGATCAGGATAGAAGCCCCCTTACTTTTATGGGGTCCCTGGCGTGAAATTAATGCGGGTATTATGTTAGCATGGGTGAGTGAAAGTTGTCTGTTCTGTAATGCGTTACTTGGAGGAAGACTACATCAACATGCAGCGTTTTGAGTTCCCTGCACAATAAGTGTCTCTTAACTGCTATATTTAACCCCTTAGTTACCAGACCATTTTTCAATTTTCTTACCGTTAAGGACCAGGGCTTTTTTTACATTTCTGCTGTGTTTTTATTTAGCTGTAATTTTCCTCTTACTCATTTACTGTACCCACCCATAGTATACACTGTTTTTCTCACCATTAAATGGTCTTTCTAAAGAAACCATTATTTTCATCATATCATATAATTTATTATAAAACAATTATAAAATATGATGAAAAAATTGAAAAAAAAAACACTTTTTCTAACTTTGACTCCCAAATACTGTTACGCATCTACAACTGCCAAAAACACTTGTGCTAAATAGTTACTAAATTTTGTCCTGAGTTTAAAAATAACCAATGTTAACATGTTCTTAGCTTTTAGTTATACAACTATAAGTAATAGGGCTATAAGTAAAAGTAGGACATTGCTGTTACAATATATATATTTTTAAAATTTATCAATAGTGACATTGTAACACTATTATCTCTCATAAATCTCTGAATCACACCTTACATGTACATATTTTTTTTAAAGTAGACAACCCAGAGTATTCAATATGGGGTATGCCCAGTCTTTTTTAGTTGCCAGTTAGTCACAAACACTGACCAAAGCTAGCATTCACATTTGTTTGTGTGTGAAAAATGCAAAAAAACTAATTTGAACGCTAATTTTGGCCAGTTTTTGTGACCAAGTGGCTACTAAAAAATACTGGACATACCCCATCTGCAATACCTTGGGTTGTCTACTTTTGCAAATAGTATGCCATGATGGAGGTAATTCTCAATGCTGGACTACCATACGGTTTCAAAGGCAACATTACCAATCTGGCAAATTTCAATGTGAAAAAAATGAAATGCAAGCCTTATATTTGAAGAAGAGACCTAGATATGCATATAGAAACTATGAGAATGCTAAGTCACATGTCAATTACACCCACAATAACAGATATCAATTACTATCCGTAGAAGCTGAAATAGATAATGATGATTATTTTTTAGAGATAAACCAATGCACACGCACAGACATCATACCCTATAAGGATAAGAGAACAGAGTTTAAGTTTAGAGGAAAGAGAAGTGGAAGAAGAGCACAAAAGAGAAAGGCTAGATCGACAGTAACCCCTTTTAAAGAGAAAGAACATGGCATTTTTAATTTGTCCCAAAAGGTTTTAACATCCACTCAAATATCTGTCTTAAGTAAATGCCTCAAATTTGCCCCCACCAATTCTTTTACATCATTGCAAGTGTTTTAGAGGTAAATAAGTTCGTCAGAAAAGCTACCCTTAAGAGATTCTTTGCTAGTAGAGACTCTAATACGACCACTTCCCAAACTTCACTGACTCCCTTATCACCAGAGCACCCACAAGTAACCACCACCTCCTTAAAAAAGAATTCTAATTTTATCCATCCAGTTTTAAATCAGACCCTTTAGAAGTATGTGAGATATTAGTTACAAAAGATTTAAATAGAATCAAAGAGCGTAAATTTTAACATGACAATCTAACACAGTCAGAACGCCAAGCACTCAAAGAATTGAAAAAGGACAAAGATTTTGTCATTTTGCCATTGGGTAATAAATATAAAAGAAACAAATTGAAACCAATGTGGCTTAGTAGAGAAGTAAAACAAGAGATTAAAAATAAGAAAAGGGTATTTAAAGCATTTAAATCGGACAAATCAGAGGCATCCTATATAAGATATAAGGAAGCCAATAATGCTTGCAAAAAGGCAATTAAAGTGGCTAAACTAGAAAATGAGAACTTGATAGCGAAAGAATGCAAAACCAACCCCAAAACTTTTTTCAAGTGCATAAATTCTTTTGTTTCAGGTATTGTACCGGAGGATTGGAGGCAGGCAGATGTTGTTCCCATATTTAAAAAGGGTTCAAAATCCTTGCCTGGGGGCGGGGCCGGGCCGCCGGGCCGACTGGAGGCCATTAGCTTGAGCTCCGGCTGTGAGCTCGTGATAACAGCACAAAATACTGTTCCTGACCGCTTAAAAGACGGATCCTCCGACACCAGTGCACGGAGAATGACCTAAGCTTTTACCCGCTACCTGCATGAAACTCCTCGCCTGTCGGGTGAGTGGAGGCGGCCATCCCCGGCCTACCAACGGCTGAGAATCCGACCGCATGCGCATCCGCGGGGAAGCGCTGAGCCGAGGCACCCGGGCAGAAGAAGCCACGAGAGGAATACTCCGACAAAGAGCAACTCCCGGCCCGGGGCACGGCCCTGTCCCCCCCCCGGCCTGGTTATCCCGGCCACATGGCGACCGCTCGTGCCGTGACGGGAGCCCCCGCTGCGGTAACGTGCTGGACGCCTATACTGGCAAAGCCTGCATACAGCACAGCCAGCCAGCAGATGTGGGAGCTGATATGGTGGAAGCCATCCGCCTTCAAGAGGAAGCACCTAGGAAGGGTGTGGAGCAGAGCAACGGCTGTGTGGAGGACGGCCAGCCGGCAGATGTGGACACTGCCACGGTGGGGAAAGTACACTCACCTGAGGAGGCAATCAGGCAGAGATAAAGGAGACCTGCACTAATACAGAGGTTGGAGACCTAATGCAGCTGCACCCCACTGCCTGTGTATGTTCTCCCTCAAGCCACCAGTGACTGATCAGAGCTGTAGTAACCATGAAGAATACCCACCATGGCGAGCTGATCCAAACGGCCAATACGGACTCTGGCATTGCTGAGCACCAGATGGATCCCTTGTGACGACTGCCCGCCCGTCAGAAAAAGTGAGTGCCCAGGCATCTGGGTCTGGGAGGTCCCCGGAGAGCCTTGTCCCTGATGCTGGGAGCCCTGTGGGGCTGGTCTGCGTGGCCCCCCCGGCGGACCGGTGGCCGGGGGCGGCGGGCACCGGCTCCAAGTATGTGGCCGGCGCCAGGAGAGACATTGGGACACTCGCTTCCCTGGGCGGTGTTGGGGAGGTGCAGGGAGCAGGAGGCCCGCGGACTCTAGGTGTGGGGGTCAAGTGGACTGTCTCTGCCACCGAGTGCCCACAGCACCGCGGGGGACCCATGTGATGGGCTGGGGTCGCTCCGGGGAGGACGGACGGAGACTCGGCATCCCAGGAGATGCACTGCGGCCGTGCCACGGGAGGCCCTCATCAGACAGATACTAAGACCAGCCTGGCTCCTTTACTGTTACAGTTATTACCGTTAATTTATTTTTGCTTTGTTCTGTATACATCCATCCTTACCGCATGCCTAGTTCACGACGCATTAGACGCAGTAATAGGGCTGCTAGCTATGCCTAAACCCCTGCTTCACGATGCCTGACTAACATATCGTATAAAAACATGTGTACTTGAGGTAGCAATGGGACCCGAATATAGTTTTGGTAGGGACGCTACAGAACGACACCCCACGTGGTCCTGCTGTCTTCAGCTGACAAACCTTATTAAATTGCAAAATACAACACCCTCTACCACAACACACGCCATATTGCTATATATCGCCTCACCGGGAGACAGGCAGCCACCCGACGCTCGCTTTCACAGTGCTCAGGAGATAAGCTCCGTTCAAGACACCTAGCGCATGCACCTGGCTCAAGAAGAGCCCGCTTAACGCACACAGACCTGAACATTTAGCCACGCATCTAAGCAAGCACTGCACGTATTGACCATTTCATACTTAGCACCCGCATATAACGTGCACAACTTTTGAATCTTAACTGAGCTTCCCTTTTGTCAGTCCTAATGCTATAGTTTTTTTAGATTTTATACAAAGCCAAAACAATAGGAATCTAACAACTAGATGCCACGGATAAGAATATATGGCACATAGCAACGAAAGGTGAACAACAATGTCACGC